CTTAAAATAAAGCCTAAATATCCATTTAACAGTAATATGCCAAGGCCAAGCAGAATCAACCTTAAACGTTTTCACGTTAGAATAACTTACAATAAGAGAAAAAGTATCCCACTAACTTAAAGAATGCATTTTCAGTATTTTCAGTTAAGAAAAAAACTTTTCAGAAAAATCTCACACAATATTAAATTCAGGCAAACATGTGTCATCAATTTTAAATAAAATAAAAAAAAGATACAAAGGAATGAAAAAGAAATTCATATTTGTCCATCCAAAGGTATAAATCTTCTCTTTTTGGAAACTCTGAGGTGCTTTTGAAAAGGTTGATCTCTTTTGATTCTCCAGCAGAAATCAGCCATCATGTCTGAATATTTCTTCCAATGTTGGATGATTTTCTCCCGGTTCAAATAATCATTATAATCTTTGTGAAGATTATAATGTTGGTGAAAAATAGCCCCAAAACATGAGTCCGTTGCCCAACAACATTTGGGTCGAAAAAATGTCGACCGGTGTAATGGACATTGAAAAATTTTTATTCAAATTTCCACTGTAAACTAGAAAAATAGTCAGAATTGTAGAAATATTAAATTAAATTCTTAAGCAAAACTTTTTTTTCGTGATTCTTTAATCTAATGTCTTTATATTTTCTTTCTGTCCCATTAGCGTGTTGCGTCTTAGAGGTATTATGGGCTTGTTTTGGGTAAATTGATTATATATATATATATACATACATACATGCATACACACACACACACACACATATATATATATATATATATATATAAATATATAGATCGAGAAACTAGTAAAATCTAACTGAAATAATAATAAAAACGAAAGAATATTAATCTACAACCCAGTGTGTCTGAAGATTTTAATTTTTTAATATTTTTTTATTGTTCAAAACACACACACACACACACACACACACACACACACACACACACACACATATATATATATATTTTGTTATTTGACGCCAGTCTTTAGGGTCTGATGAAAGATTCTTACCTTTAAGATAATATCTAGAGATTGAAATGCCCGAACAATATTGTATATGATAAAGAAGCTACTCATTTATAGACAAGACATTTTCATATGGAACAACTCGACAAATTATAGAAAGCTCATTATGACCAACGATGTTTTACCATAGTCAACGAAATCCGCTTCTAGTTTTATAGTTTGCTTAATTCTAATTAGCTTCTTACGGGAGATATTTAACGAAAAGAACAGGGAGAAAAAAGAAAAAGAAAAAACATTGTGTAGCGTCAGGAGAGGAATCGCATCTTACCTTAAAAATCAGCTTTCAGAATCTTGGTTTTTGACCTGGGATTGAACAACAGCCATGGTCCTTGATAAAAAACAAAACAAAAAAAAAAAAAAACGAAACAAAAACAAAACAATTAGTTCAGCCACAAAGAAGAATCCTTATTTACTAAACAGGAGCCATACTAAATAGAAGAAGATGGGGGTATAAAGATTGTATTGCGCCAATTTTCTGAGGGGAGGGGATCAACTTGAGTGTCTTGAAAAAACATCAACTGACAGTATATCATTTTGTGGTTTAATTATTTTCCGGCAGCGATCTTATATGAATCGGAAAGAGGAATAAACAAATAATTTGCGGGAAAACAGGTGTATAGCGAATTTAGTGACTAATAGGTCAATTTCAAGAATATTTAAAATGAAACGAAGATTTAAAATGACTTATTAAAAAAAAAAAGTTTAAACATATAAATAATAATGTTAGCTCGAAATAAGCGGTTTCTACATACATCAAGATATTTCTAAAAGTATCTATCTCTGAAATCGACAATCATGAATATCTGAAACACTTCGTGTTTGAAGAAAGACAAAAAGGGACATAACTCTTCAAGAGCCTCCTTTATTCTCGCTATCACTCTATATTAAATCATTAAAACCAACCGTCCTATTTATAGGGCGGTAAGCGTTCATGAGTTCTAAGCAGAAAACAAGAACGAATACCGGATTTTATGTTGGGCTTCAATGGTTAAACAAATAGTTTAATTGCATTAGGAAAATTGCTTTGAAGTATATCTGTATATGACGCGATGGAAGACGAGTGGAATTCAATTTAAGCTATCGAGTTAGTGAGAATTGTTAACATGTTACTATTACTGAACTAAACAGCGACAATCAGTATTTAACGAACGTCGCTGAAAATAATGTAACTAAATAAGTTGTCTCTTTACGATAATATCACGCCGAAGGTCTTACAGAGGAGATCAAATGTAGAAAAAGAATACAAAAAATATTTCCGGTTACTTTAAAAAATTAATCTATGAAAAGCTTTAAAGTAACGGGAAGGTGTTATTTTCATTTTTGCGTAACTTAGACGAGAGTTCATCCATCACAGTCTGTGTGTGTGTAATATTCTATCCTATAGCTGGTATTGATATGACCTTGACGATATGTGTAAAAACAATACGAACGTTAAATTAGATTAAATAGAATTCTTTAATCAAAACTATTTTAAGCATTAGAAAATAACAATGACGTCTCATTTTAACAGATATATTTACCAAAATGGCACAAAAATATTTTGAAATACTAAAGAGTAAATTTATTCAATAAAATCGCCATTGGCTTCAACTACAGACTCCAGACAACTTCGGAATCTCCTGCAACTTTTTTGAACGGTCTCCTTGTTTAAGTTGGTGAATACTGCCTTCAGTTCATCTATAGTGTTACAAGGAGTTTTGATGGTCCCTCACTCAACTATATCCCACACATCAAGGGGGTTGCAGTCTGGGGAATGAGATGTCCAGATGTAAGTGGTAATGTGGTCTTAGAACTTTTCTCACTGGCTTATCCTGCTTGTGTGGTATGGTGCGTGTCCTGTTGCCAGACATGTGAATGAGTGAGTGAATGACAATATGTATGCCTCGTTGTCGCTTTTCATGAACTAGGACATTTTTTGCGTTCAAAAGAAATATAGGTTGCAGGCGAAATATTATTGTACACACATTTGAAACAGTATATACAGATGTGCGATGGATAAATTGTCGTCTGAATTATACAAAAATGAAAATAATTTAATCATTTTAACAGATATATTTACTAAAATTATACAAAAAATCTCTAAATACTAAAGAGTAAATTTATTCAATAAAATCGCCATTGGCTTCAATCATGGCCTCCAGACGACTTCAGAATCTCCTGCATCTCTTCTGGACAGTCTCTTTGTTTAAGATGGTGAATGCTGCCACAATCGTTGCCTTCAGTTTATCTTTGGTGTTTTTGGTCTCTCGCTCAACTGTGCCCCACACATAATAAAACGGTTGCAAATATTTGTGAATAACAATATACAAAGGGTGTACTGAAAGTTTCTTAGCCCTACGTGACCTAGAACCATGAAATGTACATGCTATTGTATGTTTTCCATTCATACTTCTACACATTTGACGCATCTACAGGGTGCGATGGGTAAATTGTCGTCTAAAATTACGCTAAAATGAAAATAACACTGACATCTCAGTTTAACAGATATATTTACCAAAATTACACAAAATATCTTGAAATAGGAAAATAAATTTATTCAATAAAATCACTATTGGTTTCAACCATAGCCTATTTCTAAATCTATTTCTGGTAATATTTTTCATTCAAAAATGTATTGCTGGTAATAATTTTTACGAAGTATTTTTGCTATTAAAACCTATTTTAAAATTTTCATAGTGTTTTGACCCCAGTGTATGGGTTAACTATTTGCCCATAGCTAGAACTCTAACAGGTGATACCACCCCGGGTCAGGGGTGGACCTGGGAACACCAGCAATTAAGAGTTGGTTCCATGCTCCTAAAAACCTCCTGAACAGAGGCCTTGATATTGGACGTAGTTTATCGTCTTACCCAGGACATACATGACTTACCAAGCAATTTTCCCACACTGAATCAAACCAAAGAAAAACAGAGGTCCATTAGCATTTATTGGCTACTAGACTTTAAATGCACCATCAATTGCCATCTTCTGTCTTTTTTTTTGATACTGTTCTTTATTGCCCTTTCTACTCACTAATGTATTCTCATTTTCTTTCACTCTCGGTAACCCCTTGTGTCTTAGTGGCATTATTGCTTTGCTTCATTTGAAATGATTAAAAAAAAAAATATGGTGTAATAAAATTCTTGGTTCAACTAGCACAAGTATTTTAATGACTAAAAACAGAATAGTGATTTTGTTAAGTGACTCAAGCTATAAACATATCAGCAGCCCTTGTACATGTACTGTTCTTGGTAACATTCCATGGATATCCTGTTGGTATTGCTGGTCATTACTATTGGAGCAAATCACTCTTCAGTGACAACACTTGTAACCTTGTACCATACTAAGGAAAGATTTGTAAATAACAATATACAAAGGGAGTGCTAAAATTTTCTCAGCCCTACGTGACCTAGAGCCATGAAATGTACATGCTATTTTGTTTTCAATTCATACTTCTACACATCTGACACGTCTACAGGGTGCGATGGATAAATTGTCATCTAAGTTACGCTAAAATGAAAATAACACTGACATCTCAGTTTAACAATAAAGTCGCCATAAGCTCCAAAATTTGTATATTGGAAAAGGTATATTGGACACTGATTTGTCTGTATCTTGAACAATAATTAAAGATTTATTCGCTTTTTGTAGTTTGTTACGCTCTGAGGTAATGGTCCGACGCTCAAAACTGTTCATGTTTCAAACGGGACTTGCGATTGTCAAACAGATTTGTCTCCTGTTCTTCTCTTAACTGGATTGTTTTACAGGGCAAAAACGACATCCACTACCTTGCTATTTATCTAGACCTCGGCGTGGGTAGAAGTGGTACCATAGTCGACCGCGTCTAAAACTCGAAATCGGTTTGCCAAATACATTTTTTTTATCGGTAACTATTACGTATTTGTCGACATACAAGATATATTATCAACAAGCGCATGATGTCATGGTTGGAACTCGATGTGAAAAAGAATAGAGGAGTATTTATTTTCTATAGAACTTTATGAAATATATAAGAAAAGAAAGAAGAAAATATCACTGAAGAAAAAAAAAGAAAATAAAAAAATTAGATGGTAAAAGACATGTAAAAGAAAAAGAAGAAAACGGAAATGAGGAAAAAAGAAAAAGAAAATCAAAAGAGCAAAAAAGGAAGAAAAAAAGAGAGAAAAAGAAGCGAGGAAAGAGGAGAAAAGAAAAAAGAGAAGGATAACAAGAAAAAGAGAAAAACAAAGGTGCAAAAACGTGAGAAAAATTAGATAACAAAGAAAATATGAATAAAAAAGGAAACGTAAAAGAAAGGAGAAAAAGAAAAAGCTGCACGGAATCAAAGAAAAAAATAAATAAATACCAGAAAAAACAAAAATCAGGATAAAATGAGAAAGAAAATATGAAAACTAACAAAAATATGCATATATAAAAATAATAAATTCAATTTGACTATCGTCTTTTTTTTTACAGTTTATTTAGTCATTCAATGATGAGGAGGAGAATAATTTTTTTCTAAATTTGTCTGCATCAATGAATCCTTCACAATGACAGACGAAAAGTCCGCCATCAATGTTGTCATCAGAGGACCTTTTTCTTCTTAACTCAAATCTTCTTCAAAGAATCTGTATTTTCCCTTTTCGTGCAAAATTGCACCCAAAACGATTAAGCAAAGATTATATCAGCACATTCTCACGGCACATTCATTGGATGCATAATGAAGTCTCGTAAAAAATAATCCGGTGAATGAAAATCAAAAAGTTTCAGCCTTTTGGTGAGTGCAGAAGCAATGTCGTGCACTCTCTAATACTATCGATTACACATTGAAGTCTTGACCTCACTGCCATAACTGTCCGCGCATGCTCAGTTAAGCTTTCGATCAGCTGCTCAGCGAGTGGGTCAATGTAGGAACTACAAATCAACCCGAACCGGAAGACACTATAATCATTATATACAGGATGTCCATAAAGTTCGTGTACACTTTAAAACATTTATAACTTTATTTGTATTTGCAATAGAAATAATTTGTAAAAAGGATTAGAAAGAAGTAAATCTATATATTTTTAAGGTTTTATTGAAATTTTATTTAAGTTTCCACATGTCCTTCATCATTAGCAATAAAAAGGGTAATACGATTCTGCAGTTCACGGAAAACATTTGCCAACTGATTTACAGTAATACCTGAAATCACATTTGTTATTTTAGCTATGCTTAAAATTAGGTACATTAAACTTTATAACATTTTTTACAGATTAATTCTACTGCTATATAATGGATGAGGGGGATTAACAGGAGATAAATGATAACTTACATCCATTAGACATGGCACGTGGAACTAGAACAGTCTACCCCAGTGAGCGAAATAAAGGGTTCAATTCGAGATTCCAACCATCTGAAGAAGGCCGGGGCGTACAACGGCCAAAATGTTGCAATAAATATGGCGACAAAGATGAGGACAATAGTCCGAATAATGTAAATAGTGTAATAGATTATAATAAAAACATTTTACATTTATATAGATATATATATATATATATATATATATATATATATATATATATATATATATATATATATTTACACATGTGTGTGCTTGTGTATGTGTGTGCGTGTTTGTGGTCAATACGTTTATTAATAATGTGGAAAAATAACATGAGAGCAATAGGCAGAAAAAGAAAGAGAAAGGCTAATTTGGTATCCAATACTGATTAGTTGAATATTTTGATATCGACCAACCAATCACATGAAGTCTTTGATGATTAAGACCAAAATAAAATAAAATAAGAATTGAAAAACTAAAGACGATGGTAAATAAAGTGACCTGAAGGAACTGATCTGATTATGGTGATCAGTATTCATCTTATTATTGGTTTGGTGCATAATTATCAGGCGTTTTTTGTAGGCGAGTTATTTGTTAATAAAATTTGCTGTTTTGCATACTTTTTTTTAATAAAAATATTATTTTATTTTCAGGTTATAACAATGCGTGTCGATAATCATGCCCTCCGGAATAATCATTTTAAAATGTTATTGTTGAATTGTTCTTTTTGTAATAATAAATATTGTTTAAATAAACGCCTGATAATTATGCACCAATCTAATATTTTTGACAAGACTTTGTTTTACTGATGCGTGGCTGACACTTCCCGTCATGCTTTTCAGACAATAAGATCTTTTTGAAGATATCATTCATGGTTTCATATTAACTATTCTCAGACAGTGCCAAAAAAAAAAAAAAAAACATGGAGGAGAAAAAAATTGAACTTCAGGAATTAATTGAAAAAGAAAGAATATAAAAAGACCTGAAAGTCCGCAGGCTTCGAAGAAGGAAGAGAGTGAGAATGTCTGAAAGAGAGAGAGAGAGAGAGAGAGAGAGAGAGAGAGAGAGAGAGAGAAAGGAGAGGAAGAACGGGGGGTTAGAAAGATAAATATTACAAGAATGAGAAGAAAATAAACGAGTTAAAAAAGATAGCTTCACGAGTGATCTAACATTTCTTTGTGCCACGTCGCTTGAGGTCGTGGGTGATCTAGGATCTCCACAGCTTCCTGGTATTTATGGACGTTAGTGAAGTTTGTCTTTTTGGTACAACTCCTTCTGCCAACCATTTACACAATCTATTTTCATCTGTCCATCTTGCCTTCTATATGTCCTGTGAGTGTCGAATTTTCTAAGCCATCTTTCCTCTTTATGTTTGTAGAATTGTTTGTTTTTTGCTTCGTCGTTGATCACATGTTCAGTCCATGCTATTCTCATCATCCTTCTGTAGATCCACATTTCTGTTGCCTCAAGTCTCTTTTCCATCTGTGATGAGATGGTCCAGCATTCACTGCCATATTGAATAAACGATATTAAAAAGCCGTTCAATACTCTTTTCTTTACTTCCAATGACATTTTCTTGTTGCTTAATACTTTGCTTAGGTTTTGGAAAGCATATTTTGCTATTCATTTGCGCCTTCGGATTTCAGTATCACATTCTTCACTTAAAACACTTCCCTGATATTTAAATTGTTTGCCCTTGTTTAATTTTGGTAATTCCAATTTGTAATTTTCATATTGTGTTTGTTTTGTTATTGACAATCATATATTATCTTCTTACCGATGATGATTAGTCCTTTCTTCTCGCTTTCCTTCTGTAGGAGTTTCTGTAGCTTATTGTTTGTGTCTGCTATCAGCACTGTGGCATCTGCATATCTAATGTTGTCAAGACTGTGGCCGCCAATAATGAATCCCGTAGGACATCTAATTCGGTCAGGTTTGCTTCAATGTAAAGGTGGGTTAAGTCTGGTGAGACGACACATCCTTGTCTTAACTCCCTTTTCTATTTTTGTGTAATTATTGAATTACTTTTCTCTCCTAATGCAGGCGGTTTGCTTCCAGTATAGGTTCGAGATTATTATAACATCCTTTCCCAAATATGCCAAACAGTTCTTTGCGACGAAAGTTAGACAAAGATAGGAAGTAAGAGAGAGAGAGAGAGAGAGAGAGAGAGAGAGGAGATAGATAGATAGATAGAGAGAGATATATAGATAGAATATAGAGAGATTGAGAGGGAGGGATAGAGAGATAAATAGATAACGAGTGATAGGAAGAAATAGCTAGCTAGCTAGATAGATAGATACATAGATTGTTCGAGCATGTTAAAACTAAATAATTCCGGCGGAACGTTTGTTTGAACCGGTAGACTTATTTTTCAATTTGAAAAATTCCTACCAACATGACCATTTTAAACGGTACTTGTTTTTGATACAAAAGTAGAAATTATGGAGAGAAAGAGAGAGAGAGACAGAGAGAGAGAGAGACAGAGAGAGAGAGAGAAAAAGAGAGAGAGAGACTATGAACGGAGGATAGAATTTAAGGAAAGAAAAGAATGTTTGAATAGGGAGAAAAAGAAAAAGAGAGGGGATGTTGTAGATTTAGTTTGCTTTATTTTCTTTTATGCCATATCAACCTCAATGGCTTATTTAATGCCGACAAACTTTTTACAACAGATTCATATGAATAGAATATTTATTCTTTGTAAAAATCGGTTTGTAGATCAGATTTCATTTTTGTCGAGTGTGTGGGTTCATTGATGTATTTTTGGATATACAGTTTGTAGAGAAATTGATTTTATGACATTCTCATTTGAATTATATTTTTTGTAGAGAATCACTTTTTTAAGAAATGACATTATGTCACTGAGTTTGGCTTCCTCGAAGAGCTCATAAATGCTGTTTATATTATAGCATTTTTGTCTTCAGAGAGCAAGGTCTGAATACTTGGCTAATATGTGTATAATAGTGTATGCCGTTTCATATACTTGGCATAATGGCTGATCTTCATTGTTTAGCAAATATGAGTGGGTTATTCTCGTCTGGCCAATGCATAAGCTGGCCAATACTACTTTTTCCTTTCGAGATTTCCTGAAAGCCAACTTCCATTCTCCTATTTTAGACTGAATTTCAAAGAGTTTATTCTATGGGTCATCGTCCCAGCACCGTTGCCATTCCTTTTGAATATATTTGTTAATGACCTCCATAAAGTCTTGTGTATGGAATTTTGGTCGTTGACTCTACATCATTATCTTAATCTGATTTGGCTTCTAGGTCTGATTTATTGATACTTTCTACTCCGAAGGAATCCAATATAGTTCGATGTCTTTATGTTTCCAATGAGTGCTCATTTTACATAATACTTTGATAGTTGTTGGATTTTTTCCTTCAAGGCCGTTGGGACGAATAGTGTGTCCGAATAATTAAGAAATGTTTTTGTTTGCTCTGTGTAATGATATTGAGAGCTTAGCTCTATTGTATAAACCTCCACAGTGCAAATAGTGCTCCCCCTTGGGAGACGCTTTTTTAAAAAAAATATTTTGACTCACTGCTGCACATCTTGTATTGTCCTCACACTTTGATCCGTCTGTGTAGATGGGTATATGGTTAGGGTAGTTTTCTAATATGTCTTGAAACTTATCCTGGAATTTGAGTGGGTGGGTTTTTTGCTTAAGGAGTTTATTTAATTCTAGTAAGACTTCAGGTTGCTTGATTTTCCATTATGGAATACTAGCTGCAGTCGTTTCTTGTATGAGAGAGAGAGAGAGAGAGGAGAGAGAGAGAGAGAGAGAGAGAGAGAGAGAGGGGTCCCTAACTATTCAGCAATAGATTTCATCCTCAGTCCATAGGGTTGTATTCTATTGTCTTTTTGTTGGAATAGATCACAGTGATTAGATTCACTAGGTGTTGCTGTAAGCTGGGTTAGTTGGGCATATTTTTGACATAGTACTGTAGTGCCAGTTTAATGCGACTTAAATATGGAGCTGTTTCATTAGTTTCTATGTATAAGCTCTCCACTCGGATGTCCTAAAACTCCTAAGTACTAGTCTGAGGCCTTGATGCTAGGTTGCATTGAGTATTTTTAGATATGATTTTCTTATCGCCCCAAATATCATGAAATTAGTGTAATCCAGTTTTGAGCGAAGTAGTTATCTGTATAATTAAATTAATATTTCTCAGTCTTCTCCCCATTCAGTATGGGCTACCACATACAGAATTTGAGGGGGATTTACTACATTTTATATTTAAATATTTTTGATGGGGAATGAATGCTGATTTTTTCTCAAAGATGATGCCTCGGAACTTGTGTTATTCCATTACTGGGTTTCTGCTCCGTTTAAAGAGAAGTCGATGTGCAATTTCCTTAATTTACAGAAATTTAGGCATTTGGTTTTTGTTTTGGAAAAGGTAAAACCATTTTCCGTGGCTCATTTGTGTATTTTATTGAGGCATTGTTGGCGTTGTCTTTCTATGACATTCATATGTCGAGATCTGTACATTTAACTATGGAATTAATTTTGACGTAGAAAAAAGGGTCACCAAAAGAATATTTCCTTAAGGAATTCCTTCTTCTTTATTTTGCAGTCCTGATAGCATAGTTTCTATACGGACTTGAAATCTTTGGTCTTCCAGGAAATTCTTTATCAATTGAGTCAGCCTTCTCTTAAGGCCCAGTTCATACAGGTCTTTGAAGATGCCAAATTTTCATGTTGTATCGTACGCCTTTTCCAAATCAAAAAAAGATTGCTGTGGGATGTTCCTTTTAATGAAAGCTTCATTTACAAAGGTTTCTAGGCGTATTAAGTAACCCAGGGTGCTTATTATTCCCCTAAAAGCACATTGGAAGTCGCTGATTAAGACAACCTGTTCTTGAACATTCTCTCCATCGTTTTACTGCTTAATGATATCGGTCTGCAGTTTTCAGGATCTGTGTCATCCTTCCCAGGTTGTGGAATAGGGATGATGAATAACTGTTTCCATATTTCTAGGAAGTTGCCAATTGTTCATATATTATTATACATTTTTTATAACAGTTGTAACGATTTATAGGGTAACTGCCTTACAGATTTTCGTAGTGGATACCACTTGGGCCCACAGTTGTATTGATTCAGCTAATTTCTCTAAAGTGAATGTTAGGTTATAGTTGTTTGGATTATTCGATTTCAAGTTTAGCTTTTGTTTTCCCACTTATTAGCAAAAGAACTTGATTTATGTTTGTCTTTATTCCATTGAACTATTTGATAACATGATTGCTAAATGTTTTTAGGTGTTAGCTTAGGATGACGCTGCTATTTAATTTTCCAAAGGTTTTGAGGTTGGAGGTTTTGGCCGTTTGTGTGTTTTGGCTTTTCAAATTCAATTCTTCCAATTTGTCAAATCGGTTTTGGGTAGGAATTTAGTCACAGTGAATTTCTGTTTTTTTGCTTGTACGATTCTGTTTTTTGCGGTGGGGTGGAGGCTATAAGTTCTTAAGTCCACCTTTGATGGTTTTTAGTGGAAGGATAGGAAATCACTGTGACCTTTGCTTTGTAGGTGATTTTACACAACTCTTTCAAAATCTCCTCTAAAGCAAAGGTCACGGCGATATGCTTGTAATGATTCCCTTAGAAGTATTCAGTCTTTCATGGGGGGAGGTTTTTATTTCGATGTTTTGGAAAGTCATCATCTTGATTAAACTCTCGACAAGTATTCTATTTTCCACTCCTGCCAGCAAATTGCCATTCCTAAATTTCTTAACTGTTCTGGGGTCAATCCTATTGGACAGCACGAGACAGGGGAACGTTTTACTAGAGGAGTTTCATCTAGGGAATCGAGCACAAGAAATCTTGGAAATTCAGTACTTAATTCTTTTTCAGAATCAGTGTGTGAAATATATATATATTTTTTATTTTAGTTATTCGTAATGTTTGATGTATTAAAATTAACTGCCTGTTTCCCACACACCTCGGAGCCCGACGTTGGAACGTGTCAAGGGGGAAACCCAGTTGCCTTGACAGACCAGGACCACACGAACCAATGTACTCGTATACGAGAGAGACTTTGAGCAACCGTTAAGCTATTTGTTGAACTTCACAAATCTGGTATGTTTACAGCCATGTCTAAGTCTAGATCTCTTCAAACCGACTGACCTTAGCCATTGCCTTCTAACGCCTATAAATTGGATAGAGATGGTATTTTATCCCGGTGTATGTTTGGGGTATTTAGTTATAAAGTGCTCCAGAAATTGATATAATTGTAGGCGCTAGGGATTGGCATGATTGATTGGATCGGATCTCTCTGACCACCCGTCTAGTGCAAGTAAGGGATAAACTGGTGTGTTGGGAATCAGATGTATCTCACCCTGACTCCTGAAGCCTTCAGTCACCAGGATCGTGTCCCCAGACATTACGGCACGGCACCCACGACAAACACGTGACCTCGGCAAACGAGAGTGGGGTTCTAACCCCTCTGTAGAGGTGAAGGCACCGTATTCTGAAGCTCCAAATGACAGGGGAAGGATGATGTAGAGATAGTTGGATAGATAGATAGATAGATAGATAGATGCTATGAAAGGAGGTTGGAATTTCGAGAGAGAAAAGTGTATTTGAATAGAGAGAAAAGAGAAAAAGAGGGGATATTGTATTGAGAGAGAGAGAGAGAGAGAGAGAGAGAGAGAGAGAGAGACAGGGACAGAGACAGAGAAAGAATGAATGACCTTGGTAAAAACAAGAGTGAGAGGGAGAGGGAGAGAGAGAAAGTTAATGCATTTGGAAAGTGAGAGAATGATAAAAGAAAGAGAGTATGAGATTGAATTTAAAGACATATATATATATATATATATATATATATATATATATATATATATATATATATATGGGTGTGTGTGTGTATGTGTTTGTGTGTGTGTGTGTGTAGATATATAGAGCGGAAAGCAGAGTTAATACTACCTTTGTCTCCTAATATATCTTGTGCATGAAATGTGCAATTAATGTCAACCGGCCTAGATCAAGCAGTCTTACTAAAGAAAAATGTGCTTCCCAACTAAAACCGAACACGTATTGACCTTCTTTGCAATCAGGGAAACCACACCTATAATCAAAGCGTACCCTTACCAATTAAGGCACGAGAAATCATCCCTGATAATGTAAGTCTCATTTACCGACTTAAGAAATGCGCACCTCTCGTCGGGAATCTATATCTGCTAGCTTTGCTTCTTTGCCCGAAATATTCCTGATTTTTTAAACACCCAATATTATTTCTAATGAGTATAAACGTTGTTTACATTTCATTTTATTTTTAGTAGGTGCACCTGTCTTAGTTTACATCCTTGTTTTTTTTAAACAGTGAAATTAATGCCAACAGGCCTAGATTGGGAAGTCCTACTAAAGGAAAACATACATCCGGACAGAATTCAAACCTGTATTCCACTTTTCCACAAGGAAAACTAGTCGTCTAGCAAACAAGAAAATGAAAACAGCTCGTAAATACCTGCCCATTTGTTGATCAATCTGCAGGTATACTGATAGGCACACCTGGTTAGGTATTGTCATTATTACAATTACTTTACTTCTTATTTAAATGCTTTGTGCTGGAGTAGACGCTGGGTCCCTTGTAAACAAACAGAATTCAATGACGCAGGTTATTCTGCGCATACATTAGATACTGTTACAATTAACACAAAAGTTATTATCTGTCTATATTTCTGAGATGAGGTATTATGTACATTATTTACATTATTCGAACTATTGTCCTCATCTTTGTCGCCATATTTATTACAACGTTTCGGCCCTTCAGTATCTGTCTATATTTCTGAGATGAGGTATTATGTATACTATTTACATTATTCGGACTATTGTCCTCATCTTTGTCGCCATATTTATTACAACATTTCGGCCGTTGTACGCTCCGGCCTTCTTCAGGTAGCTGTAATGTCCAACTGAACTCTTTATTTCGCTCACTGGGGTAGACTGTTCTAGTTCACGTGCCATGTTTAATGGATGTCAGTTATCAGTTATCTCCTGTTAATTCCCCTCTCCAAGTTCTCCACTGACTTAATAAAGAAAATGCAACGTTCATTCAAAATCTTTTTTTTTCTAATTTAGTTTTAAAACTATTAGTCAAAATTTATACTTTTCTTTTTAGCCGTAACTCGTAAACAGTTTCGAATCCGTGAGGAAAATTTGTGAAGTTATCATTTAGCTACTATGCTACGCGCCCATACATAGTACATATATACATGGGGGATTGCGTCAGGTATTTGAGAACATATACTTACAACGCCATAATGACCAAAACTAACCACACAGATCACAAGATTGCAGCCTTCTGAAATGTCGCCAGGTTCTTTTTTTAAGATAATGACTGCAAATTTTTGGCATTAATGAGTCTTCAGAAAAGAAATTAGTTGCATTGATGGATTTATTTTTAATCCGTTATTTTTATTACTTCAAACATTATTATAGGGGATACTCGTATTTCAAAAAGACGCTTGATTGTCTTTTCTTTAAATAGTTTGTATTACAACTATTGGGTGTCTTGAAACATATTCTTCCGAAGACAACTGTAATAGTCTCACAAAACAGAAGCACTTCCTTTATATCAGTAACTGCATTATGTGTATCAAATACGGGTATTTGGGGAAATCCAAAAGAGTAGACACAAGCATGAAAAGAAAGTCATTCTAACAAAATCGATAATAAAATCATTGCGATATAAAGGATGGAAGAGACGAATGAGAAAATGGAATAAATAGAAAAACCTGAAATATTTTATCAAACAAAACGACAATAAGGCAAAACTAATGTTCCTGCTTTTATTTCTCCCCTGAACTATTTATAAATAAATATTTTGATTTTGGCAGGTGGATGAATTTGCCTTTGGCAAGGATTTAAGAGGTGTCAGGTCAGAGGAAGAAGCTAAAGAGTTATTAAATCTTGTCACAGAGTTGAGAAAAGAACTGAAAGACAAACACTTGGGACGAATATTCATTTGCATTTAAAAAAAAAAAAAAAAATCAGTAGCCAGATTGCAGTGTTGATTCCTACGTTTACATTGATACTCTCTCTCGCTCCCTCCCTCTCTCTTATTAATGTATATTTAAGCAGTAACCTTTCTTTTAAACATGTTTCAGTGAATATGACCGACAAGGAAAATGTAATTAACTTTTTATTTAGTTTTTCAAGAATTTTTACATTTCTCCATTCGGTGAGAGTAAAGGAATGATAAAATTGTCCGTGTTGTCCATCGTCCCAATCACTTTCGGCTACTTCTTTAGTCATTTTCAAGTGGGTTTTGTTTTAGACAATTTATTTTTGTATTGTTTTGAATACTAGAAGGAGCGTTTATTCTGAGCTTTGCATGTTGAGCGCGGCTGGAATTCGAGTGAAGATCTTTCTATTTCTAAAACTTTTTTCGGCACACCATTTCCACTGTTGAATAAGGTGTGGTTGATAATGGGAGCGAGATACTTTATATACAAAGCCTCACTAACAGCGAGATGTTTCCGGTAATATGATTTATATAGAAATGTAGTGTTTTCGACTATTTCGAATATTTCTTAAGGGTTCTTGTAAATTGTAGGTAGCTAAATATTTTTTATAGCACTTTGATCAGGTAGATGAAATGTGAGGCGTCCATTCAAGGAAGTGGTAGTATATCCAATATAAGTAATCGTTTTATGACAATAAACAGTCTTGGACTTGATAGTGAAATTGATACATGACGTTGTTGTGGTTAGTGACAAGAAGGTTTGCCGTTTTCCATTATCTGTAAAAAAAAAAAAAAGAAAACAGACGGATAGATATGTGAACATGTGTGCATACGTATATACTTATATGCGAGAAAACATTATTCAGCCAACAAAATAGACGAACGGTCTGCGCGTTGACAGTGCAAGATATTCGCTACACAATCCAACATTGAATACAGCGACCAAATGCGTACGTATGTACGCAACGACTCATGGATGCGAATATATGCCCAGTGCCACACTGTTCACATATGTTTATGTTTGTGTGAGCTCCGGTGAGTGAGCGTGCGTGTGTGTGTCTGCGTACGTCAATGAGTGAACGTGCGTGTATGTATGTTTGCGTAAGCATGAGTGGCGTTCCAACGACAAATTTACCTCCCGCTACCATAAAAGCAGCGATATACGCAACCATATATAAATTCAAAATTTAAAATTAATCAGTCTGTCTGACGATCGCAAATAGCGTGAAAACCTGGGTCATAAATTCACATCAATCCAACTATATATATATATATATATATATATATATATATATATATATATATATATATATGTGTGTGTGTGTGTGTGCCTGTGTGTGTGTGTCTGTCTGTCTGTCTGTGTATTTAGGCAGCAATCCTTCTTGCATGCACATTTCATTGAATATGTCAGACAAGGTGCTTTGATTTAGTTTTTCTACAATTTCTCACGTGATCTAATAAATTTATCTTTTCGGATGATAAATTATATAAAATCTGTCCAACCGTTCTATTTATCCGAGCGCTTTTGTCGATATATGTAGCCATTTTCAAGGTTGAAATATATTATCTGTTAACAAGAAATAGTTTATTGTATGATTGTATTTATATAATGTTTTCATTTTCAAATCAGGGTCAAGTTATTGTGTCTACGTTCATAGTTGGAAGCACTCGGATAAAAAGAACAATTGGACAAGTTTTTATATAATTTATCATCCGAAAAATAAAAATTATTAGATCACACGAGAAATTGTATAAAAAACTAAATTTAAGCACCTGGTCTGTCGTATTCAATGAAATATGCTTATATATATATATATATATATATATATATATATATATATATATATATATATACATGGGAAATTTTCTAAACTTTCATCTAAGGTCGAGTGAAACGTCAAAAGCTTGATTATTTCATTGTTTTCTCTTCAAGTTACAAGTGCTATCCATTTTAGTTGTTGCTGTTGTTGAAAGTCTTCAGGTGATGCGGTATCTGTTATCTGGTACAGTTCTTTGTTTATGATTCTGTAGCGCCAGTCCTGAACGTTCGAAGAGGGATGGTCTCTACCAAGATCCACAGGTTTCACACGATCAAGAGCATTTTAATCATTTCTAAATTTCTTAGAAAGCTGTTGTATACAGCTGACAGTTTAAATAATTTCTGACAGTTTCGACAATTTCTGAGTTTCTGACAGCTTAGACGATTTCTACCAGATTCTGAGAGTTTAAATAATTTCTGACAGTGTCTGATAGTTTACATAATTTCTGACAGTTGCCGATATTCTGTAATTCACATCACAAAAAGAAAATAAAAATTCTTGTTATTTATGTTAATACGTGCCTCAAGTCTTTGTTGTTATCGTTGTACATTTTATGTATTCTAATTCCTGTCATTAATACCAGATCCGTTTCAATGTCCATTTTACAGCATTAGTAGTTTTTTAATTATTTTTGTTAATTGTTTCTTTCTTTACGTATTCCATATTTTTTCATGTATTAATTTGGTAAGAACAGGATATAAAATGAAGCAGTCCGGGCATATATAATCAGAAAGGACGGATATGCCGTTGTGTTTTCAATGCTTCTTCATCTCAATATATTCAACGGCAAATTCCAGTCCGAAATTGCGATCATGTAGATTCTGTGGTATCAAAGTCCCTCATGTGAGTCATTTAACTTTAACTCCCTTTTATGTTATATATTTTTCTTTAATGCTTGGGATGTTTAGCCGATGTATTTTGAAGCATTGTTTTCATTCTATACAGCAGAATCCTGCTTGTAATGAAAAATTAACTCTCTGTTTTACATTGATTAAGTTTTTAGATTATTTTGTGTTGTGTCTATAAAGAAATTCATAAATAAAATGAATAATTTTACTGTCGTAGTGTCGTGTCCATGAAATATTATAGTGTCAAAAATAATTGTAATAAAATAATTATAACAGTTATAATTAATTCACTCATTCTAAGCCAATGAGAATCGACCTCATTTTTCTTCTCAAAACACGCAAACTCACTATCGGACAAGCAGTTCACACGGACAGGTCGTTAACGGATGCGTCAACGAAAATTCCATCTCGTATTCCTTTTCTGACCATAATAATTCTTTTATTGGTTATCTTTTTCTTATTCTTTATGTTATCCTTCTGTCGGATTTCGATCTATATTTGATTTCCATTTAAACCCAAACTCAGTATTACTGTCTCTCGTTTCTCCCAAACCACATAACAACTCGTTTTGCTGTATCCACGTCTTGCTATTTCTCATTTTATGAGTATTTTTGTAATTATAAATGTTACAGAGTTTTATAGTTATTTACTCAGTGTCATAACTTCCCTACAATTGATTATGATAATTTTATATTGTGGTTAGCTAATTTTAAAACTCATAAGTTATAGATTTTGTCGGTAATACAATATGACTTGTTCTTGTGTTGTTTATACTTTATGATTTTGTGCGATTTTAGTATGTGTAATATGGAGCTTTCTTTTGAAAAAAAAAAACATACATATTTAGGTTATTAGATAATCATGCGTTGTTTCAATGGCTTAAGATAAAATGTTCAGACATAGCAACGTCAGAAATGGGCGCCTTTACCACTGGCATCGACCATTATTCGACAAGTATGCCTTCTAGTCATCACCAAGCACAAGATATTGTTTTGTGGTATAACAGCCCACTTCTCAGGCACGGCAACACGAATTTCTCGAAGGTCAGCAGGTTAAACAGTCTGTAAGAGAGAAAAAGAGAGCTATATAGATTGGAATAGACGGCAAGTTTGGAAGAGTAGAAGAAAAACACAAGAAGTGAAAGAAAAATAGGAAAGAACAGATAGAAACGGAGAGATGGTGAGAAAAAGATACAAGAGAATGAGAAAAAGATAGAGAATGAGAAAAATTAACAGAAAGAGAAGAAGAAGAAGAAGAAGAAGAAGAAGAAGAAGAAGAAAGAGAGAGTGAGAACACTTGATATTTTGACGGTATGAATTCACTATTTGGGATATTATTGAAAAAGATAACCAATAAAAGATATTCCTCTAATAAAATATATAAAAAAATAGATAAAAAAGGCATTTGGAATTCTCATAAGGCAGAGAATGCTGGGCAGAATTTCATTGGTTGAAATCAGGACCTGATCTGATCATGTCTGAAACGCTCCGGGCAGTTTTAATCAAACAAGACAAAAGAAGTGCTGTACATGTCGACTAATAATCTGCAGGTTATGTAGAACGGTGATCAGTCCTGGTAGGAAGACAGAAAATAAATATCTTTCAATTCTGATGGACTCAGCTGAAAATCTAATCAATATCTGTTTGAATCAGGAAAACTGACTTGAACTCGATGAAAATACCTATGAACTTTATGTTAAAACACTTTCTAAGACACAGAAAGAATATAAAATCCCTAAATCTATCTCGCGTACAGATTAATACAAATACATACATATACATATCTTTAAGGTATCTTTCTCATTATGGTGTCATATATATTGAAGTGTGTATAAATAAAATACACGTAAAAATTTATTTAGACTATTGGAAACCTTTACAAGAACCTGATCAGGCGGAAAATAGAGTACTGTTGCCATGTATGGCAGAGAGCAACTGAGTCCTTTCAGTTTTGACAGATTTCAAAAATATCTCTGCGTCATTGTAGGCGATGATTTATTTTGCACCCTACAACCACTTTCTCACAGATTAAAAGATGCATCCTCTCTCTGTTCTATCGCTATTTCCATGGAAAGTGTTCAAACAAACTACATTCTTTAGTTCGACCAGTTTTAACCTTCACGGCTAAGACCCGCCGTGCCACGCCCAGTGTAGCGAACCACCCTCATTCCTTTCATATTCCATTAGCTGAGATGTAAGTTTCACTCACGCAGCTTCTTCCCACGATGCACAGCTTTGTGGAATATACTCCCAAGAGGTTGCTTCCTCGATCACTACAATCTTAAGCAGTTCAGGTTTCGGTTTAACTTTTGTTTTCTACACATATCCACATAAGCTATGCCTCTTAATCTGTAACACTCTACCTCAAGTGACCTTCGGGCCTTGTACAGTGTGAATACCACTGTAAAATATGACGGCACCTTGAGTAACTTGAAATTGATTCCAATAAACGAGGGAACAACGAAATTAGCCAAAAACATTTACACAAACAAACAAAAAACGACATCCTTGAAAACGAATGTAGCAACATTCGAAAGTAATTAGGAAAAAAATGGCCGAAAATTAAAATGAACTTTGCTAATTTTGCCGATTATTTAAAACAACTGATTCAGAAATTTGAAAAAATTATAAAAAATTGCATAGACAGAACTTGTCGATGTTATTTAGCAAAACTTGTTTGAAAGAATTGCGGCATAAATACACCTTATATATATATATATATATATATATATAAAAAGACACTTTTTATGTTTATACGTTCTTTTTATAGATATAAATATTTAAGTAAATGCTCTGTTTATAATAAACAGTATTAAACAACATTTACCAGCCTGAATGTCCGAGAAACTTTCATAGAAAATATGCATCCTCCGACAGGAATCGAACCTGTATCCTATACGTCATATAGCCTGACGTGCTTTACCGCTCGAGCCACAGAGGAGCGTTTCGGTTGATTTTACTATTTTTAAACTACAATTCTCAGAGTAAAAACAGTAAAATCAACCTTACTAACTAAAACCCTCCTCTGTGGCTCAAGCAGTAAAGCACGTCTGGCTATATGACGGTTCGGTATAGGATACAAGTTCGATTCCTGTCGGAGGACGCATATTTTCTATGAAAATTTCTCGGACATTCAGGCCGGTAAATGTTAATACTGTTTATTATAAAAAGAACTAAAAAATGTACCCTATAATTAAAACATAAGAAAAGTACCCTATAATTAAACATGTACATAATTGGCATTTTTAATTATTTGGCAAGGTTTTTTTCCTGTTCTAGAAGCTAACACATTTTATCATTTAGGGCTGCAGACTATCACTCTCAAAACAATCGCAGAAGTTTGTCTCATTCTTCGATTTGGTTTGGTTTATTTTGTTTAACGGCATAGCAACACCTTAATGGGTTATCTAATGTCAACTAGATTTTTAGGATAGGTTCGTATTTGTAGAATATATATCTTCTTTGTAAGAAATCAGTTTGTAGATCAGGTTTCATTGATGTACTTTTGTAAAGAGGGTTTTTGTCGAGAGTCAAATATATTGTGGGTAATATATTTTTTCCAAAAATCTACTGCGGATAAAAAAAATGTATTGTTGGTATTTTCACAATAAAATGTATTTTTCTACTTTTACAGTGTGTTTTGACTCCAGTTTGGCAGTTAACTATTTGCCCATAGCTGAGACCGTAACACGTGCTACCAGCCCGGGTCAGGGGTCAAGTGGTAACAACAGCACTTAACAGGTGATTCCAGGCTCCTCAAAATCTCCTGATCACAAGCCTTCCTGTCGGATGTAGTTTATCGTCATACCCAGAAGAACTCATTTTCCGAAAACCTTTTATCAAAATTCTGCCGTCAAGCACATTCCAACTCAAACGGACGTGTGTCTCAATGCAGAAAATTATTTGTTTTTCAATATGGCTCCTAAATTTTTTCTCATTCAAACTTTCTTTCTCACTGACTCACGTTAAGGATTTTTATCCACCCTGGCTGTCCCACCTGTGTCAAACCGAAACAAAATTTACTAAATAGTGATTTTTTAAGCCCGGCTTAGATGTGGCACAAGGCCGAAAGTATGGGGCACCAAGTGAGGATCGAACTCACTACTCAGTCGTCATTGTTCTAGCAAGACAAACTTTCTAACAATTACACGACGTCGAGGTGCCCTATATTGATTTTCTAAGCGAGGCTTAGATGTGACACATGGCCGAAAGTATGGGGTACCTAGTGAGGATCGATCTCCCAACTCAGTTGTAATTGATCTAGCAAAACAAACTTTCTAACACCGCACGTCGAGGTGCCCTACAAAATTTCCTAAATATCAATTGATTTAAATTCATAAGCTTATAATAATATTTGTTATATTAAAACATATTTATTCTTCTTTTATATAAATTAAATATTTTAGTGACCAATTTAACCGAAGCATTTTCACGACATAGTCCCAACATTTCGGCCATTGTATCTCTCTGTTCTTTCAGTTGCTTGTCGTAATTGGTAACAATCTGGAATTTATTCAGTTCATTGAGATAGATGTGTTTCGTTCTATTGTCCATGATGTAGGATAACTATTATTCTTTCTTCTTCAATTAATCCTTGCGATATGACATCTTGTGTTCCAAGTGAACTAAAGTATATGATCTTCATTGACTGATCCAATGTTTGAGATCATGACTACTAGGTAACTGTATCCTCTTTGCCACGGTAATGGAATGTCGAGGCCTTAAATCTAGAGTGTATATTCCTTCCTAATCAAATACTCATATATAGTGCTTATTATATGCTAGGACCACTGAATAGGTTAGTCAAGCATAGCATATGCGCTGATTCTTTCATTCGACGTATTTTACAGTTCTGTTCTTGATTATTCTAACGTGTTTTCATAGGATGCTGACCCATGTCTTCACACTTTACACATGATCTTGAACGAATGCAGGTGAGTATAACGTTATATTTTGCGAATAACCAAGATGTGGACACAAATTTGAATAAATCCATCAGTAATGAGGTGTCAGAAATGCAGAGGTTGAAATATTTTACAGCAAAAATGCATAAAAGCAAAATGGCGCTGATTTTCTCCCATTGTTATCGATTTAGCATTCAGATCGAGGTAAAGATGGTATTGACATAGATAGTCTTGACGATATCCTGCGACCTTTGTTTGGGTCATCGTTCATGTGAGGCATCGGTCACGTGTTCTTAATGCGGTTTTGGTGGGTTGAGGAATAGCGATCTTTGATCGAACAAGACAAAGTAATCGAATCTAAAAGAAATCAGCTTGTGGTTGGTGAAAATTATGAAAGTATAAAAATTCTGATAGAAAGGTGGCAACTGAAGGTCGTCGAAAGGTTTCATTTGGTGTCAACGCTGTCTTCTCCGCTTATATTGGATGTTCACTGTTTCTGATCTCCCCTCAGCAGTAAAGATCCAAATCCAGAAGGATCAAAATTGCTTTCCTACATAGAAATTGGATTCTTACCTAATTTTAGCTTTTCAGGCTAAGCGCAGAAATGTGTGAACGTGTAATTGTAATTTATCACTGAATATATCTTGCTTTTGCGGTTGTTATTTTTCAATGACAGAAAATTAAAGCATTTTTCATTAACACCAATAAATATCACTTTTTGATAATTGTGGTAAACACACAAATATTTCCTAACTACACTATAAGCCAAAGGTTTGCAGCCACACTGTGTTTCGAAGTATCCGCTAAAAACGAAGGTTGAGTGCATATTCCATGGACACACACACACAGAGAGAGAGAGAGAGAGAGAGAGAGAGAGAGAGAGAGAGAGAGAGAGAGAGCTAACAAAAGTGAAGTCTTAAGAAAATGATAAGAGAAAGAAAACATACTCAGAATCGGGAAAAGACTTTTCTTGGACACATAATGAGGAAAGACGGCTTGGAAAACTTAACTTTCACGAGGCCATAATGAAGGTAAAAAAGGGAAAAATACTATTCATATATTCATTAATAATACTACTACTTCTACTAATATATATATATATATATATATATATATATATATATATATATATATATGATCAAATATACTCTTAAGGTGTGCTATACTTATAGGATAAAGTGCTCAGTATCAGAGATAGAGCGTGTGTAAATATAAAAGAGAACAGTGAAGTCAACACTTAGAGGCGACAGGCTGTTTCATGATAGATGCAATCGTCAGGACACTCGTGGCCTCTCAGTGTTGTCTTCAATGTTCACTTTATATATATATATATAAATTATGCCTTTAAACTGCTTGAGGAACATAGTGCCGCAAGATATCGTTGCGGTTTCAACAACAAGCCAGTTTTTTTAAGTGAGTAGGTTGTTAGCCTACTGTACAACCATCACATTGGAGGATGAGGTTTTGAATTCAGAGTTCTCCTTCTCCTACACCCAAGGGGTTGCACAACGGAAAAATTAAATAAAAGTCTCAATGGACACATATGATGTCAGACAAAATAATCTGACATTAACGGTGCTTGCAGAACATTTTATTACAAACGATTGTAATTTCGACAAGCATCTTAAGGTGCAAATTCTGAAAAAATATTCAGCATCAACCAACCTGCCGGCCATTAAAGCACATGAAGATGGTTACGTAAGCAAATTGTTAACTTCCCTCCCCGGGAGAATGAACAGAATGGGAGGAAATGGCCATTTATACTAAGCTGTTTGATTCAGTTCTATTAGTAAGTAGTCAACTAACGGAAAATGAACAAAATCGCCACCATATTAAGCACCTTTCAGTTTCATGCCTTCACGCTGGCATCGTTTCATTCGTTTTGACACGTTCATTACCAGTACAGCCGTTCTTTCATTACAAGACAAGTAATGTTTGTACAAAGACTTATAATTTTTTGTATATATATATATATATATATATATTATACTTGAAAGAAATTGTTTAAACATAACTTGAAGAAGACATTGTCGAAGTATTGTTAAACATTGTCAAATTGTGTTTTTTCTTTTCTTTCTCTTTTCTTAAATCGCGTTCTTCTCTTACCTATTATTATTATTATTATTATTATTATTATTATTATTATTATTATTATTATTATTTCCTTTGGATTTCCATTGTATATACGTTTCCTTCCAGGTTCCAAGCGGAGATTTAAGATCCCGAATGGCTTCATGACATTTTCCACTGATCATTTTTGTAAAAGAATTAATATTACACACATTTCAAATAGATAACGCCTTTCGTAACGTGTGATCTGCACTTGTTTTTTTATATTTCTTTAAGACTTGGACTACCAGAAATCCTTTACTTAGTCTATCGCAATCATTTCCAATCAAGTGTACGAAACATGACTTGATTTATGTGGATTGAACAAAGGAAAAATTAAATAAAAGACTCAATGGACACGGATATGATGTCAGACACAATAATATGGCATCAACGGAGCTTACAAAACATTTTATTACAAACGACTGTAATTTCGACAAGCATCTTAAGGTGCGATTCAGAAATAAATATTTAGAATCTACTGAACTGTTGAGCCTTAAAAAGCAAGAGGATGGTTACGTAAGCAAAAGTGAAGTAAGTAATTTGTTTACTTAACCATTCCCCGGAATGAATAGAATGGCAGGAGAGTTCCATATGATTTATAGTAAGCTCTTTGATTAATTCTACTCAGAAACTAATCAACGAACGGAAAATTTCAAGATGAACAAGATCACCACTATATTAAGCATGTTTCAGTTTCATGCCTTCTTTTTTCGGGGTTATCACCCCCACATCATTTCATTGATACAATTTATATATATATATATATATATATATATATATATATATATATATATATATATATATATATATGTCATTCGCAGACAGTATTGTTTCGCTGTATCACAGCTCTTCAGTGCGACTAGACAACCGAATAACTCAAGCCAGGATTTTATGTACGCTGAGATGGACACAGGACGCTTCCCGGCAGGCTGATCAGTACTGCGATTCAAGGATATCTGCACAGCCTCTCTGACGCATTCACTCTCACGTCTCTGTATCTCGACTTCTTCCTAAGTCGCAAGCCCCGATAGCTTTTTTAAGTAATACCGATCTTAGAGGTCACCCGGCTATATCTTTCCTTCCTTGGTTTAGAGTGGGTGTGTCATTTCGATAGGGTTACATCGAATTTTCCCGAAATCTTACGATATTAGAATTGAAGGCGAAGTCTAGTGTGGAAACCTCTATGTACGTTGTGTACCGCAGTTAATGAATAATTCTCAATTTACGGCCGTGGTAACATTTCTCTCTTTGTGTCCAAGGATCACGATGGGAATCAGGCTGGAATAAATACTCCTTCAATAAAACGCAGAATACTGTTGATAAACTCTAATAACAGGTTTAATGAACATAAAAAAAACTGGTTGATTAATATTTTTTCTATTATTTACAGAAAAATCCAGTTCTCTACTGTTGCATGACGCTTTGTGAAATCTAATAACAAAAACTAAAGTAATAACCATCCTATCGACTCTCAGTAATTTCTTCAAAGTAATAACGAGCCAGTCGTTTCTCATTCAATTCGTCTGTCATGCGTCTGTCTGAGTTTTCGCACCGGCCACGGGAATTGCGGGTGTTCTTTAGCGACGGCTGACTTACAATGCAATCTCGGGCATCTCGAGCTGACTTCCTCCTGGAGTCGTCTCCGTCTGTGTGTCTAATGGCCTGATGGATTCTCGGTTATATATACGTATGCCCGCCCCCATTGTCATTGATATATCTAATTGCTCTCCTCGATCGTCTTGATCTTAGGAGGTCTATTAATAATGACATAGCATTCCTTTTGTTTTAGAATTTTCTGTTCTCTCTCTCTCTGAAGATAGTGGAGATTTTAGGCGAAAAGTAATCAATATAAACAAATCCCAAGTTTACAATAATTTAGGTCTATCCCTTCTGTAAGAACAAACATGTTTTGGACAGATTTAAAAAAAACGAATTTAATTCCTTAGGATCAAAGAAATTCAGATAACACATTAATCATGTTTTCTTCTTATTGGCGGGAAGTGAATAGGGTGAGGAACCTTGGTTTTGCTTAATTTTAATGAATCTTGGATAGTTAATTCTAGGTTCGATTCTCGTTGGAACTGTTCTTAATTTATTTTAAAACATCATTTCTAACCTGGTTCTTTTTTATTTTTCTTTCTCAAGCATTTAACGTAGTCTCCTGAGAATTTTAATAATTATTATCTAATACATAGTCTCTCCAAATCTCCATCGTGTAATTTCATGCAATTAAACGTTCAAACGGGTTTCGTGGCCTCCTCTTTTCACCCACAAGTGCAAATGCTGATGCTGGTCATACATTAAGTGTATCCTGTTTAAATGTTTATATCATGAAAGCAAATGGCCTTTCCAAAAATAAAATAAAAATACTTCTTCATTGTTCATTAAAATATTATTTTGGTTCAGGCAATTCTATTATACGGCTGATTCTCCCAAATTAGCAACTACGTTTATTTTTTTTTAAATCTATGCACGTGCAAAGCATAGTCACTTCTTTCGGTGTTTACTTCAAAAGTCTTTAATTTGGTCTTCTTGACAAACAAACGATGGTTCTCCTGGTAATTCGACAGCTGGGTCTATAATTGTCTCTTTACCCTCTTCAGCGTGTAAGGCAGTCTCCATCATCCTCAACTGTTCCTACCCTCATGGCATCATGTACAACTACACGATCTCGCCATTCCATTTCGACTTTTTCTTAATTTAATCATCAAAACTACCAAAATTACTCAAATTACCATGATAATAGTTCCAGAACAGGATGACAATGCCACCGTGTTAATTCTCAGACTACTACTGGTGCGTTATCCATGGTCGATTTGTCAGGAAGAAGACACCCTGATGTTATGCAGGGATCGATCCCAGCGTGCGTCAGCTTTGGAAAGTGCCTGAAAAAATATACCACGGGTTGACCCAAGACTTGTGAATGAAAATTAGTAGACGGAAGCCGGGTGAAGCCATCGATAGCTGTGTTTGCAGGAAGTCATAAGTCATCGTGGCCGAGGGCTTTAGCGTGCTGGCCTTGTTCATATTGTTAATCATGCTAGATAACACGCTATCTCCCAGAACTTGTAACTAAGGTCTGCTCAGCATATTTGCATTATAAACCATAGGTGGGCTCTCTGGGTGTTGACTAAACAGAAATGCGCCTGAGCAAACGTCTGCAATAGGGATTGGCTAGCCGCCCTAGTAGACGGTTATGCTCCAATACGAGCGGTCAGCTATACTGGTGAGTTCTTCGAATATAGTTCTTATGTAAATATGTATAACTTATGACCACTTGTCACATAAACTGGGCGGACATGCTCAGAGCATATTTCCTTCATATTCCCTAACTTCTTCAAGTATTAATAGTATGAATATAATTCTAGTTACTAAATTCTCGACCTCTAACTTACACCTAGTCACTAACCGTCTCTTCCCATCTATCTCTGGGTAAAGAATGGGTAGGTTTACTACTAGTAATTCTTTAAACGTACTTTTTCTGTTACGACCACCATGAAGAATTTATATTATAAAAAGAGAAGTTTTTTTTTGTTCTTCTTAATCATTTCACCCCATTCAAGGCAATAAATCCACTAAGATGCAAAGGAAAATACCCACCGTCCGCGTGTGACTTTGCGTGCACGTATGTAATATCTGTATTTTGCATGGCTGATTTACATGTGCTGCTAACATTTAAGGTACACAAAAAGAGATAGACACACACACACACATGCACAAGAAGTTTACTGTTCTCGAAATAAAACATTGGAATAATTTATACCTTTCCGATTCGGTCTGGACAACCTCTGACTAATAAAACC